CGCTTAATGACCGTGGGACTGACTTAACAACTGCAGTGATTCCCTTAACAACGGCAGCAAGAAAGGTCGTAAGATGGGAGGAAACTCACGGAACAACCGTCTAGCTTAGCCGTGGAAATTTTGGGCTCTATTTTGTGGTCGTAAGTCGAGGACTATCTTTACTCAAGGGTAGAGTTGTGGGTTAGCCCGTCTCAACGCTGCTAACATCGGATGTTTTTGCATTGAGAAGAGAGGGAAATGTAGCCATCTTTTCCCTTTCGCTTTTAGAGTTAGATGATGCTGGGAGGGGGAATGTGAACGAGGGTCCAGCTAGACATAACAACACTAAACTTAGGGTGAGAATCAAGGTTATTGTAACCAGAACTGATAAGGAATTGAGGGCTGGAGAACTGGAGAGAAGGCCCGCACTTCAAGCTAATTGGGGGATGTGATTTATGACTGTTAATTGGAGGAGGGAATTGTGCTTGGATACTATGTGCCCAGGGGAGGGGAATTCAGTTTTTGGCTTCGATTATGCAGTGCCGAAGTTATGCTACTCAAAATAAAGATCCTTTAAGGTAAACAATGCCTCAAAGTTCTTTTGAAGAGTTTCATCTGTCGGAACTAGGACAGCCCGTTTTCAGCCACAAGAGCGCAAAGCTACTACCTGAGCTCCGCAAGCAGAGGTTCATGAGCAAAGCCACCGAGTAGGCCAGGGTGTAATCAGACATGGAGTCCGTGTCCTTCAGGGCCTCCACCAACCACGGGATGAGCCCATCCTTCACCATCGCCGACTGCAAAGCCCGCCTGGGAATCCAGAAAAACAGGAATATATTATAATATTCGAACTCTATCCTTAGATTATCTATTCTAGTAGATGTTATAACATATATTATATATATATATACATATATAATATATAATAGCCGAATTGAAGAGCCTCCAAGAACACTCCCACCAACAGTGATAGGGCAAAGCCACTAGTATATAAGAATAAGAACAAGCCCCTCCCCCTTCTAGCACTGATGATGTTGCCTAGTTGGGTCATGAAACGTCTGCAAGAAAACCACCCAGCTCAGAGAGCACCCAGGACCCCAGTCCTTTTTCTTTTCTCTTTCTTTCTTTCTTTCTTTCTTTCTTTCTTTCTTTCTTTCTTTCTTTCTTTCTTTTTCTTTCTTTCTTTCTTTCTTTCTTTCTTTTCTCTCTTTTCTCTCTCTCTCTCTCTTTCTTTCTCTTCTCCTCCTCCTCCTCCTGGCAAACCCCACTCCCTTCTAGCACTGATGATGTTGCCTAGTTGGGTCATGAAACATCTGCAAGAAAGCCACCCAGCTCAGAGAGCACCAAGGTCCCCATAGTCATTGTCCTCCTCCTCCTCCTCCTCCTCCTCCTCCTCCTCCTCCTCCTCCTGACAAACCTCACTGCCTTCTAGCACTGATGATGTTCCCTAGTTGGGTAATGAAATGTCTGCAAGAAAAACCACCCAGCTCAGAGGGCACCAAGGACCCCACAGTCGTCCTTGGTGCCTCCTCCTCCTGCTCCTCCTCCTCCTCCCAGCAAGCCTCACTCCCTTCTAGCACTGATGATATTACCCAGGTGGGTCATGAAATGTCTGCAAGAAAACCACCCAGCTCTGGGAGCACCAAGGACCCCACAGTCATTGTCCTCCTCCTCCTGGCAAACCCCACTCCCTTCTAGCACTGATGATATAACCTAGTTGGGCAATGAAACGTCTGCAAGCTCAGGGAGCACCAAGGACCCCACAGTCATTGTTCTCCTCCTCCTCTTCCTCCTCTTCCTCCCTCAAAGCCCATTCCTTTCTAGCCCTGATGATGTCACGAAGGCGAATGGAGCTTTGCGCACGGTTTCAAACAGGCCACGGCCCAGGAGTGGCTCACAGCCCAGGGCTTAGGGACCCCTGACGTAGGCCACGCGATGGAGAGAAAGGACCCTACCACGGTTATCTGCTCCCGGAAGGGAACCAGAATCCTTGAAAAGAGAGATAACTTTCTTGCGCTGAGCTCAGGTGCTTAGCTAATACAGGGAGGATCTGATAGCAGCCTGGTTAATGTTTCACAACACAGGCAGGGATATTTTATCATCCAGTTATGCAACCCCAGTTCTTTTCTCCCCCCCCGTGAGCAATAAGCCATAAAAAGTGAGAAAAAAAATGATAGGTTTATTGTCCGGGAGCTATTATTAGCTCAGCTGATACAGCCTGGTTCACCTGCTCGGTTTGTCAGACGGTTATTTCACCTGCTTTAACTCCTCACTCGCCCAAATGCGCCTTGCACGAAACGCCAACCCATCACACTTAAAAGGGTAACTCTAGTCCTCGTCATCATGAAGGAAAGACAGAAACACCCGAGGGGCAGCTTGTCAAAGCTCTTCCATGCTTTGGGGTCTTTAGCTAAGGATCTCACAATTCTGAAATCCTTGGTGCTCTCTGAGCTGGGTGGTTTTCTTGCAGACGTTTCATGACCCAACTAGGTAATGTCATCAGTGCTAGAAGGGAGTGGGGTGTGCAGAGAGGAGGAGGAGGAGGAGGAGGAGGAGAACGACGACGACGACTATGGAGTTCTTGGTGCTCTCTGAGCTGGGTGGTTTTCCTGCAGACGTTTCATTACCCAACTAGGTAACGTCATCAGTGCTAGAAGGGAGTGGGGTGTGCAGAGAGGAGGAGGAGGAGGAGGAGGAGGAGGAGGAGGAGGAGGAGGA